TTAGAGGAGATAGCTGGATATGCTGGTTTTGACGGAAGTCTAAGAAATCAAAACCTGATATTTTCAAAGGCTCCCTCGGTACATCGATTCTTCGGTCTTCTGAACATCAGTAATTAAATCAGGAAAAGCAATGTCATCAACGGATGTTGTTCTTTCAACTTCTTGTATTCAAGGTTCGGAAAGCCAGATGGATTTGAAATTCATGAGAAAGGCCTTACTAACAAGCAAAACAAAGACACCTGGCAGATTCACCATCGCTTCGCCTTCATAGTGGATTTTCTAGGAATCATGGTCTTCCCAAACAAAGAGCGAACAATTGATATTCGCACCGTGAAAGTTGTGCAGGTCCTCACCACCAAGGAAAATCACACTCTTGTCCCGATCATTCTCTCAGACATTTATCGGGCGTTGACTTTATGTAAATCAGGGGCAAAAGTGTTCGAAGGATGCAAAATTTTATTGCAAATGTGGGTGATTGAACATCTCCAACATCAGCCCAAGATCATACAGTATGGGCCTAGCAATGATAATTTCATCGAGAGTTATGGNATATATATATGGACCTTGTCACTGCACTGATTATTGATATTGCTTTTCTAGGCATATTTTCTGATTCTTAGCTCGCTGGTACTTTCTTTCTGGTTTTGTTGTTATTACTATTATATTGTCGCATTTCATCTTCTTGTGCCGAGGGTCTATCGGAAACAACCTCTCTACCCCAGGGTAGGGGTAAGGTCTGTGTACACACTACCCTCCCCAAGCCCCACTTGTGAGATTATACTGCGCGGTTGTTGTTGTTGTTGTTGTTGAACCCCTTAGCTTATTTGTGTGTGTATTTATTTATATTTCACTCCCCTTAGTGAAGATCCTTACTCCGCCAATGTCTATCGTTCACCATTTTCGGAAGTTAAGGGGAAAAAAATGTTTACAATTATTCACTCGCTGATTGCTAGCCCTTTTACGCATTATGGATTTAATGTGGCATATTCTTGCTGCAAATAACATGGGCACAATTTAACCCTCGGGGGTTGGCCTGGTGGCAATTGACTTGAGCCTTGAGGTTTGCTCCCTTTCAAGGTCTCAAGTTCGAAACCCACTGGGTGCAAACAATTTCTGAGGGCCATCGGATTTGGGTAAAACCTGAATTAACCGTGGTGCACTTGCGGGAAACTCCTTGCCGAGGGCCTGTGCACCCCCGGAAATAGTCGGGGCTCGAAGAGAATCGGACACCCGGTGCAAATCAAAAAAAATAACATGGGCACAATTTTGATATGCAGCACAAGATATTGAATACAAGATTTGAAGGGAATTTGACAGCTACAGTGAACTCTCATGCATGCAAGATGTATGTATTAAAGCCTATTGCTTGAGGACTCAGAGAATGGTTGGCACCAGACTTCTCAGTCTCTTCGTCTCAATTTGTTATGTTTTATTACAAAATTAAACTAGTCATTCGTCGAACATATACAAAGGATTAAACATCACTAATATGAAGGGATGCAAAATCCTGTCATAATGTATGAGTTACCTTTCTCATTTTGGTTGTCAACTTCAGTACCACATCCTATTAATGGATATATTTGACCAGAATCTTTTCTTGAGTTTGACCTGTATTTCAGTAGATGATTCTGCCTGCAATGCATTTTGCGTAAAATATATTTTCAAGCAGGAAGACATAAGCCTAATGTTAGTATATGTCAAAGCAAAGCACTAGTAACCTGTATTTCTTTTATATGAAGCCAGTTACCTTCATTTCTTTTAGGTATATGAATTGTTCGAGTGATTTAGGCCTTTTTTTTCCTTGAATAAAATTATTGTATGAAACCAAATTTGCATTCTGTATGACCTCCCTAACCATAAGGCAGTGGAAACGTAGAATTGACAGTGTACCATGGTGCAGTTTATTTTTGTTATATATATCAAATTCCGCCATGGTGCAGTTTAGTGGTTAGTAAAGCTATATGATAAGATAGGTACAAGAATGTCAAGATACCACAAGGTTTAGATACCGTTACATATATCAATCAACTCTGCCTCAATCTCAAAAAAGTTGAGTGGGCTATTGTTTAGACACCCTTGCATAATATACTAATTATCACAACTGATACATGATTTCACTCAAGAAACCTACAATTACAAAGAATAATATGTAGTCGGGTTAGATGAGAGCAAGTACGATGGATCCTTCTCCAACAAGCAGGTTCATTAGCAGCAACATTAAATCAGCAGCAGTGTAGAACAGGTTTTTCAATGATCAGTGAAAATGTAAGGAATTAGTAGAGTCAGTGTTCAATCCTGGCAGGAATGTAATACACAGGACTCTAGCACGGCAAGATACAAAAGCATGCAGTGCAGGTAGCTTCGGATCTACAATGGTAGCTCAAGTTCAGCACCATCATCATTACTTTACCAAAATATTGGATCGCTATTCCTTGAGATAACAGTAAACTCATGAAACTTCTTGAAGTGCAAGACTCAGCTCCTGAGCAGATTTGGCAATGGATCCTCCTCTTCTAGATAAAAAAAGGTACAGAAATAGAGATATGTAAGCGATGTAACCTTTCCACGGACCACACAAGGTTGGTTAAGATGCTTTGACATACCTAGAAAGAGCAGGCAGATGATTCTTGACTTTTTCAAGCTCAATAAAGCAGAGATTGCAGCGCTCCATCCTTTGTTGTCAATAAGCAATAAAACAGTTCAAATTAGATCTAGAAAGAACATGATAAGTATAACAAAACATGTAATAATACCTTTTCTCCGCCTCAATATCAACACCAACTGATGTTGGAGTAGACAACGAAGTATAAATCAGTGGACCAAATACTCTAACAAGTTTGAGCAGCATGTTTAATGAAATATCTTGATGCCTAAAGGAAGTCCACCAAGAAGTAAACATGTCAATCATGGAAGCTTTCGAACAATGTTAGCCGAAGAAAACGAAAATAAAGCTCAATTAGTTCTACCTATCCAACTTGCTCTGAAGCAGCCCCGTGAGAAGTGGTAATAGGCATGTGCAAATCTCTAATGTGATAATGTCAATTTTCTCAGTCAAGAAGCTCACCAAATCAGCAAGCACCTGTATAAGCGTCAGTAAATGGTAACCCTATGGTGTTAAAAAGGTAAGTATTAAGAAAAAAGTAGGGCACAAAAGCAATAGACTTACAGCATTATCTGCCATCTTCTCCAGTGCACTTA